AGGCATGACGACGACGTTCACCCTCACCACCAACCCATTGGTTCATGTTTTTGCAAAAGTCTTCCATAGCTTGGAGTGAATTGGTGCCATGTTTGGATATACTGTATGTTTACCGAATAAAAAGTTTGTGAATTAATTACAAGAAATTAAATGCAAAAATGAAACGCATGTAAAGCTTTTTTTGTCCAATAAACCTGTATAATAGTAGTATTTAATACAGTTTAATTCCAATCAGAAGGATATTCAGTGGAATATTTATATGTTTGAGGTTTTAATTGCCCTTCTGGAAATAACAAAGTTTATTAGATAGAAGATCATCCATTTATACCATTTTTGGGCAGAATGAGACTATTAAAATAAAGTGTTACTATTATTCTAGATGTGGAAACTTGAAAACAAGATGCGTAGGACGCATGTACATACTCCTGTATGGCACTTAAAAAATGTTTAAATCAAAATGACAGTTGTAATTTTCCACTGATAAGGTTAAATTAAGTTTAATGCCAATCGATAAGGATTTTAAAGTCCGAACTCAGTCCAACTCGATATTTAAAGTTAAATGGTTAAACTTGTTTTTGTGTATTAAATGAATATTATTCACAAGATATATGTGAATTGGAAATTTATATATAATATAGATCATGATACGCGTCCGGGTCTTTTCCTAATCGAAAAACCCAGCTGATCACTGCAGAATAAAATTATTTAAATTTCCATTTCAAGACACTTTTATTGATTGTTGAAAAGTATTTTATGAAAGATTATAAGATAAAGTTATTAATGCCATTAAATTATTATTCTAACCAATTCTTTTTTTTTCATCTCAAACCAGTTTTACGCATAATCTTTTTTTTTTTTTTTTTTTTTAGTTGATTGATTGCTTAACGGAGTTCTTTATTATTAGAAAAGGAAGCTCGTAGCTTACAGCACAAAGTGTCTACCGCAGCCTATTGTTGCATTTTTAAAATCTAATGAAGTTTCGTACTACCTAACCAAGTAATCTATATCGAAAATAAGGCTTTTGTCGTTTGATTACTTCATACTTTGACCGCACAATTTTTGCATCCACATTACTCATCTCATTTATGCAAAAACATGAACCAATGGGTTGGTGGTGAGGGTGAACGTCGTCGTCATGCCTTTAATCTTGGGCAGCTGCTCCTAAAAGCAAACCCAAATTCTAGGGGCAGAGATGGTTCCACTCGTGGTATATTTATTATCGGCGATCAAAGTTCTGCAAAGTCTACCACAGTAAATAGTATTATTAAACAAGTTGCGCTGCAAATGGGCGGGAATACTGTCACTAAAGTCAGAACGTGGATTGAGCATCGATACGATCCGGATTTGGAGCGTGCTGAGTATGACTTAGTATTACAAAGAGGAGAAAGAGGAACTGAAGATCTCCTTCACGGAGGTAACCTGCAGGCATTATCCGAAAAATTCATTCGATTAAATAATAGCATGGATGATACGGTGGAAGCTCGGATTATCATTCGCTCGGACATTCCGTCATTCGCAATAGATTGTTGCGATAATCCGGGATTGACTCCAGTAAACGAAACGATACAAAAAATAACCGATAATATTACACGTAAAACACTGGAAAGGGTTTTAGAACGTCAGAAATCAAAAAACGATAGTATCGTGTTGTTATGCGTTTCAGCACTGTTTTTTGAGAATGCGTCCTGGCCACGTCATATGGATCTAATCGAGCAAATAAATGGGGACAATTTGATTGTCCTTGTAACAAGGATGGATCAGCTCAATATTCGGAGCGTTGCACAAGAAATTAAAGACGATGAAGATAATTCCGAAGATAACAACCCTGAACTTACTCGCTGCAGTGCTTGGGACGTCCTTAAGTGCATTCGTACAAAGATTCTACGTCAAACCGGTCCTCGTTCGTTTCCAGATGGCGTACAGTTTCATTATGCAGCTTCTAGCAGTGTTCGTTGGGAGGTGTTGTCTGGACCTAATGGATGGGGTGCATTTGTAGCATCAGAAACTGAGAATGACAAAAAGATGCGTGAAATTCTCGGTGTATGTGATGATGAAACAAGACTCTTGCATAATGAACAAGCATGGCGCGACCATGGGATTGAATTAATTCCAATGAATCCAAGACAGCGATCAGAGTTCGATAAATGTGTCGGGATGTCAAAGTTACAGGAAAGACTACTCCAAAGGTTGCATGTTCATATATTAAAAGCTGCAGAAGAACTTCTAGACTATACAGCTGATTGGAAAAAAGCTGCAAAAATGGAATTAGATAATGTATCAAAACGTATGAAGCTCCCTGATGATCGAGCCGAATTGATCTCTCGGTTTTGCAAACAGTTTATATTAGTATATCAAACATTGTTTGCCTCACCGTTGTATTCTCCGACGATTAATGCTGACCCTTGGTTAAAGGAATTTGGGGAAGGGATCAAAAGGGGACAAGAAAACAGTGTGGGATACGGGTGGCGTTCACAAGATATGTGGGAAATTTTCGAAAGTTTAAAGGACTGCGATGGATATGCAGAATTTCCACCTCAAGAATTTCGTGATCCAAAATTTAATTCCTACATGGAAGATATTGAAAGATTCGTTAAACCTGCTAATGATAGTTTATATACAGCGCAGATGTTAATACAACGACTGACACAAGAATACACCATGCGATCAACCTTGATTCATCTACGTGACCTTGATGTTAGAACCTTCGTTCCACGTCAAGTACAATTGAGAACGTCGACCCAATTGAGTTTCGGACAGGCTGTAGATCAGAAGATTAGCGAGGACTACAGTCAGATATTCCATAAACATGAAAAGAGAAATTCTAGCGGTCATCATTCTCATCATTCACACGAGATACACGGAGGTAATCAATGGGTATCTGTACTTGGAGCTTTATGTTTATTGCTGCATGCAGAATATACTATCCGTATTATGCGCGATACAATATTCTCTTCCTTGTTACAAGCACAAAGCGATGATCCTATGCATGGTATTCTTGTTTCCAAATTTGAACGATACTGGAAATTGAGAAAGGATAAAATGATGGACCAGCAACATGAATACAATACAGAAAGTCAGATTGCATCGATAATGATAAGCATCCGAAAGAAACCAGGTCCAAAAAAATTTCTTTCAACGAAAAATAAGGTAGCACCCATTGAAGATTTGTCGTGGGCAATCTATGCGATGTTCTTTGAGGACCCCTATAACTATTTTAAAAAGACATTAGATGAGCGTACTGATCTGTTGATGATGACACATGCCACATCTCTTGTCCACTTTTACCAGTTGAGTGGAATCTGCGTGCATCAGGATGAAGAATACCTGATCAGATGGGCGGCGGACAATCCGAATTCGGCGTACGCGAGAGCCTTTCTAATTCGGGAATTTGATGTCAAGGACAGTATAGATGCTTTAATTAATGTAGTAAATCAATTAAAATCACAGGATTCAGAAATCGACAATACAGAACTGTTAGAAAGTGTGTTAAACTCAGGATCTAACATAATTAATGGTGCCGTTGCTAAAAAAGTTAAATTTATCTCCCACTTATTGAAGAACCTTAAAAAATTCCAGAGGGGAAAGAAGACTAATGAGGGCTTATCGAGTGGTAGTGAGACGGAATCTGGAATCTTTTCGAACCTGTCGGAAGCGATAACTGAGCGTGTGAGAGCCATCGTAATGGGCAAACCACCAAGCTCTGAAGATAAAGTAAAGTTGTTCGTGAATATTGCAGATATGGGTATGAACCCAGATTCGTTTCCAGAGACAGAGAGCAAGACAGATATTACTAGCAAAGAAGAAGACACCGTCAATTACGTATATAGACGTCGTTTGACTATGGGAATTACGAGCAGTGTTATCGACACTACTCAACAACTTGCTAAATCGCAATACGAATACAGTCATCAACAAACCGCACCAACCTTACAACGTGAATTGCTCGGTCGTGTCGCGTCTTTGATGCTTGGATATGGATATCCTTACCATCCTGATGCTCGTCCTTCATCCAAGTGGTATCTCTCACCGAAAGTGATTGTCCAGTTTCTATTGGCCAACGAAGATATCTTTGTAGGCGATAAAAACATGCCAAACTCTCTTGATGATTGGAACGCTTTACTTGACCCTCGGATGTTGGAATCACCGATTGTCAAACGCATCCTTTTTTTGTGTAATCCTACAGAAAACGATGATTACGATCCTAGAATAGTGTCTCATTATATCAAACAACTTGACAGGGGCAAACCTAGTGATATGGATGAATATATAATCGAGCTTCTTGCCGATGACCGGTTTAACTGGCAACCTGATCAAGAGAACCTATACGGAAAAGTGGATAATTTAAAAAATGATATAATCAAATTTAGTAGATGGCTTGATTATATCGAAGCATACAAAAAAGTTGCAGATAGTGACGCCTGACGAAACCATGTGATGCTAATTGTCACATGCTACGATATATAAAATTTAACAATTAATTCTAATTTTTATAAGTAATAACATGTGACAATTAGCATCACATGGTTTCGTCAGGCATCTATAGTTGCAGAACCAGTTTTGCTACGTAATGAGGACCTAGAACCCGAAATAAATTTTGAAGAGAAGGAAATAATCAGTGAGCTTGACGAACTTGTTTATGAAGACAACGAATTTTAAAATTTTTTCAAAAAAATTAGCCCAGAATTCATTATTCTCTTATTAATTCAATAATTCAGTGTTGGCATTTGGATTAATTGAAGATAATGTATGTAATTTTTTAATTGGACACTTAGACTAGGTCCAAATCTATTCAAATAATATAGACATAGTTTAAATGCCAAGATTGAATAATTGTTTATTGTACTATTAAATAATAAAAAGTGATGTAAACTATCTTAGCTACCTTCATTTATTTTATGTGAAATAATTTATACTCATTACTGTTCGGGGGACTAGTGATGCTCTTCCATCAAGCGATGAAGTTAACGATGTTATCCAAACTATGCGGGAAGTTTCAAACCCAATACGATTACCAATTTCACAATTCAGGGCATCCTAATATTTGGGTAACTTCACTAGAAGAAGCATATATATATAATGTTTACAGTACAATATATCTGAAGAACTTAAAATATATCTATGTGATATCAATTGTAAGTGAAAGAACCGAAAAATGAACGCAAATACTATAAAGATCGAGATGCATCATTGTCATTATCGTTATAAAAGTTTATATTCATACATAAAAATAGTTCTAATAAAGTATGTAAAAAACAAAACTATGGATTAAATATTAAAGTCTACAATGGATGTTCAATAGTGAGGTTAATAGATGCCATATCGAAAATACATGCAATAATAAAATAATCTTAATATTATATCGAGGCTGACTGTTTTAGTTTTCAACTTTTATTCGTAAGAAAGAATTATATGCTTTTAAATAAATAGAAAACTTGATATTAGATTGAATTCATTTAACTTATATACGTTTACGCCAAATTAGATCTAAAATTGGCGCCAGATTAATTTATGTCAAGTTAAACCGATATTTTAAATTCATAATATATAGGGTGATTATATATTTTCCGTGGAGCAAATTTATAATCGAATATACGTTTTTTGGCAAGATAACTATTTTATACGTAAACGTTATTTATTTATTTATTATTATTTTTAAAAAAAAGACGTTACTGACGTGGGTAAATAGATTAACAGTATAATAAATAGACAAGACATAATTGTAATCAAAATAAAATAGTAATTCTTCAAGAAGCTATTAACACTATATAAATTTAGAATTATTCTATTTGTCGCACTCTATCTTAAATTTATGGCTAAATTTCTCTCCAATCTAGATCAAGATAAAAGGTGTTAAATATAACTTATTTTTTTTAAAAAAAAATTGCATTTTGTTGAAACCGTTGTCACTCAATTCCTCGAAAGTTATTCCTTTACAGGCCGTTTACCCGACATCACATAGGGTTAGAATTAGCATCTGATTGCAGGTATATATTTTAACGAATTGTCACCCTGTGTGATCGATTAAGGGAAATAACTTTCGGGGAGTCGTATCGTAACTTTGAAACTTACACAAACAGCGTAATTGTTATCAGTAGCTAAATTTGTGGGAAGTGTATACTGTAATTTTTGATTTTTCAAATTACACGCTTCGGTAATTGTTAGAAGTCTTTTAAGATTTTCTTCGTTGTCACCTTGGTATAAATACATTGGTTGCTTTTCGGGACCTTCTTGGCTTTCAATTGTCCACTTGACTTTTAAAGGTTTTCCACATTGTGCAACGGTTTCTTGAAAAGAGAAAGAATAAGTTAGAATATTAAATATTTTAAACTTTTTTTTAATGTTTTGTACCTGAAGTTGGCATAGTGATATAAGGTACTGAGGCGAAAATCATGGAAACAGCAAAAAAAAGAGAAAAGGCAAAGATCAAAATAATGGATTTCATCTTATATAGTAAATAAAGCTGCATTTGAAAAGGATTGCCCTAAGAATTTTAAAAGAGCATTAGTTATTTTCTTACTACATAATTCTTACAACGTTTCTTATAACCTTTTTCTTATACTAACTTTAAGATAAATAACGATTTTTATCTTTGATTTTATCCTTGATTAATTTACCTATAATACTTTAATATATGATAACCGTACCAATTGTGTGATATTTTTGTTGATATCAAATGAGTCGGTCTAGAATAAGTTACGTATATAGATAGGAGTAAAAATCCAAATAAAATAATAACAGAGGCAGAGATGACACGTTATAATATTGGACATTTGGACAATTTGGACATTCGGATATTTGGACGATGTCAAATTGGACAAAGTTTGTTCTGGCTTAGAGAGTGGAATCGGTGAATAATTATTCGAGCATTGATCGAAAATTTCGAACATCGAAATAAACTTCATTCATTGAGTTTTAAACTCACTCAATCATCGAGCATCGGTCAAATTAAAATTTAACTATAAGTTTTGATAGTGATAAATATTTGATTGATTAATAAATAACAATTTCATAAATTTTATTTAATAATTTTTTTCAAATTAACATTGTTAAAAAACTCAATTGGACCCAAGATGCAAAATTTTTATCA